AAGTATAATGGAAGCTCCAGACATACTACCATCTGAAAAGATCCCATGGCATAACACATGTGTCATTCCTTTGAAAGATGAGAAAAGTTTTTATGGCCCAAGAGTGTTATATGGAGAAGAGGAAGACGGAGTAGAAGTGGAAGAGGTTATTAAGGAGGAAGAAGAAATTGAGAAAGATGTCAGTGAAACTATAGAGGAAGTTTTGGGTGTTAACGAAAGAGAGGTTGAGCCACCCACTACCATTGAGAAACTAACTCCAGTGGTAGAACAACCACAAGAGCCGGAAATGATAAATCTATTGGACCCTTAAAATGACACGTATCCCGAGAAAGAGGACGCCAAACCAGTCACCTACTCAACCACCATGTCAAAGAAGGAAGAGTTGGTCACCTTACTAAATAAGTACAAGAAAGAATATGGTTGGATGATTGTTATTATCAAAGGTCTAAGTCCAGTATGGTTCTCCCGTAAAAAGAAAGTCAAATACAAGAAAAGAGTCTCAATGGAGGTGTGGAAACTAAAAAATGTCGACACGGGGCAAGTTTTCAAGGTTAATGGATATCGGTTGAAGCCTTTCTATGGAGGTTTCGATGCAAATGTCCAATTCATTGTCCGTTTGGACCCCCCAAAATATTGAAGAAAAGATTGGAGGAAGTCTCGCCAAATATGTTAAAGAAGGGCATTTTTGGGAAGCATTGTGCTTTCGTGTATTATTAACCGAATAAAATGATTTTGAAAATGTTTTATTTTTGTTTTGAAAGTGTTAATTTTTGAAAATTTTCAAGCTTTATTGTCACATTTAGTCCAAACTTTTGTTGTGTTTTTGAAACCGGGACTTTACGAGAATCATTTTGGCCAAAAATGAAGTTTTTAGAAAAAATTCAAATTTTGAAGTGCAGGAAGTCACGTGGCCCGCGTGAGAATCCCACGCGACCCGCATAAGGTGTATAAGCGGCCACTATGCGGCCCATTCCTTGCCCGCGTAGAAGAATTACCTCCAACGTTGTTCAGCACATGCGGCCAGCGTGAGGGTTCGATGCGGCCCGCGGGGCTGGTTGTAACACTTAGTATTTTTTGAGCTTCAGTTCACGCGGCCTTTATGCGGCCCGCATGGTTCGACCCAAAATTCTTCTAACCTTCTGTGGACTCGAGAGAAAAGAAAGAATGTTACACGCGGCCTCTACGCGGCCCGCGCCCCGCCTGCACTCCATACAAAAACTCGATTTCTCGGAGATCTACCGGTCGGAATCCCGCAAGACCACCACCATTCTTCACCATTTTTCCTCCTCTACAAACCCATATCCTCCTCCCAATCCCCCGATTTAGGTCATTTATGTCCTTACCTTAAGCATTAAGGACAATGCTTGTTCTTAAGCTTGGGGTGGGGTATTCCCTTTTACTTTTTCATGCATTTTTTAGTTAGTTTGCATTTCATTTTAGTTTTAAGCTAATTTGCATTCATTATTTTTTTTTTTTTTTATAAATTCCAAAAAGATTTTATTTTCTTCTTTTCTACTTTCTATTTTTTGCATAACATTTAGCTTAGGGCATTAGCATTCATGCATTTTTGTTATTTGTTTATTCTCAACCCCCCCCCCCTTGGATGTCATGGAACAGGTTCACAGTTATTGTATCATTATTGGTCCAGGATCTTGTTGTTATCTCACCCATCGAACCGGGACCACTAGCTACAGCTTCGGACTTCATACTTGGGATCAGATGTTGGAAGCTTAAAGGGGTAAGTGATCATGGCCAGGTAGTTTCATGAAGAATTATGCATGCAATACTAACAACTGTAGGATATACTATAGCAATGTATGTTCTTAGCCCTACGGTCACTACCGCCGAGAGGATCACACTTGATCATGTTTGAACCGTTAGGATGAAGCACTGGTGCTTGTCCCCGAGTAGAATCCATATCCGGTCTCTTTACATCACCATTTTTTTGCGATTTTCTTAGGATTTTAGAGTCTTTTAGTCCACATTTGGACATTTTCATTATTTTTGAAAAATCGCAAGTTTGAAAAGGAGCTTACATCTTTACGCTCCACACATGGTCATTTTCACATTTAGACCATTCGGATTATATTATTACCCTCTCTGTTCCACTTACATACTCTTAGGAACCAAATTTTGAGTCAAAAGTTTTATTGATAAAAAAAACAAAAATTCAATATGTTAGTGCATTACCTTAAATTTTACTAGTATATTAATAAAATAATAAAAAAAAACTCAAGCAGATTCCAAGCGGCGATTATCTTAGATGGGTGATCGGTTCAATTATTGAACAAATTTTCCTACATTTTGGTCACCCGAAGTTTGATATTCATTTATTTAGGTATGTTTTATTGTATATAGATCGAGTTGTTTTTCGAAAATTGGTGATGTTAGGGAGACTGTTGAGTCGGATACTACGGGAGGTTTGGACCAACACTAAGTGAATTGATTCCTACAATGGTACCCGAGCGATGAAACCCAATCACATTTGAGAGTGGCCGACAGATGTGAGATCATGCAACTTTCTTGATAAGAGTGTACACTTAAAGAAGAGCTCCACTCGAGCCCATCCAGTTGTTTTCTCCCTACTACAGATGTTCTTCATTGTATGCATGTTCCATTGGGGCTGCGACTGGTCATCCCTCCTTACTCACCTAGAGGAGTTGTCCTAGCTGTGGTTTATGGTCCCATTGTCATTAGATGAAAAAGTAATGAGATAATAGCAAGATCAATTCTGACCATGTTGACTAACAGTGATCAGGTTCCATGGTTCTATCCATTCTTTTTATTTTTCTTAAGATAGTTCATCTCGAGTTCATTTTAGTCTCGTCTTACTTGAGGACAAGTAAGGTTTAAGATTGGGGTGATTTGATAGCTTCATTTTATTTAGTTCTTTTTATAGTTTAATTTAGCACATTTCATTTGCATTTTAGTTAATTTTCATGCATATTTTCCTCTTTGTTATTTTATGACCATTTCGGGTACTTTCTAATTTCTTGAGCATTATTGCAAATTTTTTGGAGACTAGCGGAGCGGGATTTTTGGGAGGCGATTGGACTTGAAGGGCAATGAGGATTTCGAGCTTGATGACTATGGAGGTGATTCATGGAGTGGGCTTGTCAATTGCTTGAAGGCTTGGAAGATTTGAACTTTAAATTTCCAAGGCGCGGGAGAATTTTCGAGTGTGCGGAGATCGATGATCGGGAGTTTGCGGAAGCTGCGAGTGATTTGGAGAGGCAAATTGGGCTCAAATTGAAAAAATCTTGAAGAAAAATGGGCTTGAAGCTTATTAAACTCGAACTGGGCCAATGGACTAGCTATGGGGGCCCAAGACTTGAAGAAGCTCAAAAATCTGTCACACTCACGTGGCCCTCGTAAGGTTTCCACGCGGCCCTCGTGGATTCCTGAAGGGGCAATTTCGGGATTTTGTTTAGAGCTCTATATTGGGAAGGTTGGTGTGCCTCTTTAGCCTAATCTTGAACATCCGATTTTGACATATTCTCTCTGGAGTTTTGGAGCATTTTGAAGGCCAAGAACCCTCAAGAACTTCATCATTTCACCTCTTGATTCTTGTTAAATGTTTGGTACAATCTTTACTAACTTTGTTTTCTTAAGTTTAGCCATACTTGGCTAGACAAATTGTGGTTGACTTTGGTGAAATCCTTTGACTAATTGTTGAATGTTGAAGACTCCATGAATTTGTGTTTGAATCTTTATGAAAATATTTTGTGTTTTATCATCTTATAATTACTTGTACGTTTTTATTCATGAGTTTAAATGTATTTGTGGTGATTAGTTGGCTAATTTCTTGATTAAGTAAAGGATCTTCAAATTAGCAAGCAACAAGTGATTTTTGTGTAAGTCTTACTTCACACAATCATAAAAACATTTTCTCCAATATGGTAGTGGAAGCTTTTGACTCCCCTTGGATTTGGTGACTTTTTAATTCTTAATGCTAGTTGACTTTCACTAATTACATGCTTAATGAAATTGGTGACTTTGACTAAGGAAATTGTTATGAACTTCTCTAACTATTTCAACAACTAAGAAAAGTCTAGGTAATATCAAGCTTCTTGGATTACTATAGCCAAATTAAGGATTTAAATCAAGTATTGCATCATTGGATTCTAATGATATGTTCTTCAAAAAGTCAAAGTGAGGAAACCTCAAGTCAACCATCTTTCTCTTATTGATTTTACATCAAACTCTTATTCTTGTTGAAATTGTCCATTTAAATCTTAGTTTAATTCTAGTTTATTTCAAGTATTTCAAAACACCAAACCCGCCATTTTTAATTTATTGTCATTTTACGAATATTTTTACAAAGAGATTTTTCATAGAGTTATTAAATTGAGCCAATCTCCGTGGATTCGATCCGTTTACCACTATACACTATTTTAGTGTAGAAGACTTAGGGTTATTAATTTTGTTGGTCTTGACAACCACCAGTTATCCATGATACAACTTTTACTTGAAAACTTGCTTAGTGGGTTGCTCATGTGTGTATAAATTCAACATGGTAATTCGTTTTTAAGGTTTGCAAGATTGTTGTAGAATATTAACTTCAATTTATTTTTCGTTGTCATTTCCGGAAGCATTAGCCACTAATATTGGTTTGAACACATGAAAATTATATTTGAAAACATGCTACAAATTATCAAATAAAGTGATAAACACATCAGCCCTTTTTGAAACCAAAGTAACCAATATGATATACGGTAACCAACCCCGCAACACGGGATTCTTCCCTAGTTATTATTAAAAAAAATTAACTTTAAACATTAAGTATACCGAAAATCCTTTGGCAAGATTGTGTAAACAAAGATATGCGGTGCACACCAAGCAGTTCATGGCATAAACGTGAATAACTGCAACTCCAGTGTCACTGTCGTCTAAGCAACATCTGCCTCGGTCCCATCGAAGCCACACTACATAAATCATATCGTCCGCAGAACATATCTAGCCAACCAACAGGTGTTCCGGCGACCGCGGAGGCGACAAGTATGTTGCTGAAAGTTGTTCAGACTGTCGTTGCGGCGACGGCGACTAACAATGGCGTCTTTAAAGAAAACACCCGTGTCGTAACTCATCCCCGATCCATCGATTTCTTTTCAATTCGAAGAAGAAACACCGGCTTCTTATGCAATTCATCGTCCCGGAGGGTTGCACCGGTAATGGTTGTGAAGACCGAAGAACAACCGACCACCGTTGTTGTCGGTTTGAACGAAGCAGAGGAGGAAAAGAGCCTGGCGGACAAGCTCTGGATGGGAAGCTTGACGGAAGATGGATTATCGTATAAGGAGAGGTTCATCATTAGGTGTTATGAAGTCGAGATTAACAAAACTGCTACTGTCGAAACAATTGCCAATCTCTTGCAGGTTAAAATTTCATTCTTTTACCTATCTTTTTGGCGTTCAAAGTTCAAACTGTTGGATTTTGGGCAGAATTTGGTGAATTGGTCAATACATGTGTCTCTTTTAAGGAATTTACGAAGATCGGCATCTTTTTTTAGACTGTGACAATGATGTAGATGTCGAATTTGGATCATATGTTTGATTGATTTATCAATGCATGCTACAGTATTTCATAAAACAGATTATCAATTTGAAATCTCAATATCTTGCACTCTATACATGTAATGCTCAAAGAGACTCTTGTTTCCTCTGTTCTTGGTGGATATAGTATTTACTACACTTGAAGCTTTGAGGTGTGTGTCTATGGTGTTTTAACAGCCTTGTAAAGTTTGAAGTTTGAACATATTGTAGGAGGTTGGAGGTAATCATGCTTAGAGTGTGGGGTTTTCAACAGATGGATTTGCCACTACAACCACTATGAGAAAGTTGCATCTCATTTGGGTGACTTCACGAATGCACATTGAAATCTACAGATACCCTGCATGGTAACATTAATTTCTTGATTGTTTCATATCTTTCACAATTGACATAGCTTATTGATTTTCTTTTAAAAAAACCATGTTTTATATGATAGGAGTGATGTGGTTGAAATTGAGACTTGGTGTCAAAGTGAAGGAAGAATTGGTACTAGACGTGATTGGATTATAAAAGACCATTCTAATGGTGAGGTCATTGGAAGGGCTACAAGGTGTGGTTTAGTTTATTTTATCTCTCCTTTTAAGGTCCAAGATTGTCTCTGTTTATTGTGGACTTCACAAAATGGTGCAACAATTGATCATTTCCATATAAAATGCAGCAAGTGGATGATGATGAATGAGGATACTAGAAGACTTCAGAAAGTAAATGATGATGTTAGAGATGAGTATTTAATATTTTGTCCCAAGACACCTAGGTATGAACTGAATCATAATTCAATTATTTAATTGTTATTTTACCTTGTTTCATTGATTTGATTGTGTTATGGCTTCCAGATTAGCATTTCTAGAAGAGACCAATAGCAGCCTGAAGAAGATAGCAAAACTAAAAGACCCTGCTGAATATTCAACGCTAGGACTTGTGGTAAAACCATAGTTTATTCCAAATATAAGCTTTGTTTAGTATTTTCTTGTTAATAAAAACTATTAAGCATATAACAATCCTTATGATATATACATATATAAATCCAAGAAGAGCCGATCTGGATATGAACAAGCATGTTAACAATGTTACCTACATTGGGTGGGTTTTGGAGGTTAGTATGTAGCTATTAAGTCAAAAAGATATGGTTGTATAGAATAAGTGCTTAATTCATATATACATTTTGGTCTTTTTGACAGAGTATCCCACAAGAAGTGATCGACACTCATGAACTACAAACTATAACCTTAGACTATAGGCGTGAATGCCAACATGATGATATTGTTGATTCCCTTACAAGTTCAGAACTTGAAGGAACCAATGGATCCGCATCTTCTGGACAACATTGACCCAATTTTTGCATTTTTTAAGATCATCTGGTGATGGTCTTGAGCTTAACCGGGGTCGCACCGAATGGAGAAAAAAACCAGTCAAAAGATAAAGACTCGGTTCGTTTGTAATTGCATTTTAGTGTCTTTCCGCTTTGTCATGTTGTTGTCTTTTGGTTTTCTATTTGTGTAACGGATTAGATTTTCGGATGAATAAAGCTTAAAATGTGTTTTTTTTTCATTTTCCTATGTTTTGCATGTAGACCATATCAATAGTTTACCTAAAGTAACTTTTATTACTATAAAAAGGTTCACAAAGTCACCAACTATTGTCACGGCCAACATAAAGTAAATCAGATTATCCTAGAGTTTGATTTTTATTGTTAGAGCATCTCGAATGGGTTTTTTTTATAGCTTATTAGTATTTAGTTAAATGGTCAAAATAACTAAACATTATCGGAGTGCATGGTTTTTTTGTTCATTTTTATTGACCATTCAATATATTTATTGGAGTGTATGGCTTTTTTGTTCATTTTATTGACCATTCAATATATATTGGATGGTCAATATAGTTTAAAGGTTTGAACATTTTCTCTTTAATAACATTTCATTTTATCCCTTTGATTTACTTTGAAGGGGGACAAGTAGGTGTTGAGCCAAATCCATATATTTTAATTGGACTACAAATTCATAATAGCTAAAACCCATTATACCTAAAACCCACAGCCCATTTTAAATATTCATTGTTGATCTAAAATCAGTCACTTTCAATCACCCCTTATTCAAAAGTCTTGGTTCCTCATGGCACGAATACTTTTATTAATGTAATGTATCGAAAATCTTAGAATATGTTTGGTTGGATGAACGAATGTAATGATCATGTTAATGGAATGTTTTAGGTAATTGAATGAGTGATTGCATTACATCATGTGATTTAATTTTGTTGGCATGTGGGAATTCAATGAAATTCTATATGAATTTTTTATATTATATGTAAATATGTTGTATACTTATAAATAATAACTTTATTGTAGTTATAGAATGTAATATTTACAAAACTACGGAAGTTAAGTGCATTAGAAAAGCTTATTAAAACTTACCCTAATAGATTATCATAATATTAAGGTATTTGTGGTTATTCGTAGAAAATAAAGTTTTAAGTTTAAGTTTAAGTTTAAATTTAAATCATGAATATTTTAAAAGAAATTTGTATCAGTAAAAAATTATATAAATATAGATGAGTTATATTGCGATTTTTCTTCCATTCCATTATAAGGATTGGAAAAAATGACCATCGTGAAAAGAATGCACTCAATTCATAACATTTCTTGTATTTCATTTCCAACTGAATGATTAGAATGATGGAAGACGCATAACGGAGTGACAATGAGTGATAAGCCACAAAGAACAATAAGAACATTTTTTTTTATGTACTTTTTTTAAATTCTTTATGAAGCTTTAACAAAACCTAAAAACTTAATGTTGAACGGCCATATTTATGATAACTCTAATTCCTATGAATTCTAAATGCAAAAAGAAACCACTAAAATAACTTTCCAATTCACAACTCAAAAAATACATATTGTCTAAGGTTTTTTTTTTGGTTGTCGTCAGGATACATTGCATATTCTTTTCTTGATTTCGCCATATCAGATGCTATTTTAGATCATTATGTATGACTTGAAGGATCCACATTACCCCAAAGCGGAGTGTGGACCCCACCTCATACATTTTATATATATATATATATATATATATGAAATGTAGTTAAAAAATGAGAATTTCTAGGTCTATTATGTATTAAAAAAGTTTTCACATCTCCGGATTAGTACATTTTCAATTAGCATTTACTCTAATTATAACTTTTTATGGATCTACCACTTTGTTTGAATCCTTTATACATCAAAAAAACAATGATATAAAGAATGTAGTATTTGAAAGCATAACATCAACAAATAAAATTCAACTAGAAAACTTTGTGTACATTATCAGAAGAAGCCTAATACCTCTGTTTATTAATGTCATTATATCAATACACAACAATCAAACCTGATTCAATGCAAATCTTACGAGAGACTAAATTAAACCAAACAAACTCTTATGGAACACGATAAATAATAAATATTTTATATATAGTAGATGACATTATTTCATACGACTTTATAACTTCGAGAAAAAACAGTAAATCATGGAGACGGATTTCTTCTGAACTCATCTTTGCCCTCTGCCTCCTGTTTACCCAGAAAACCATCAGGACCGCCGCTGGGAAACCCAAACCCCCCACGACCGCCCAAACCTTTACCAGGACCGCCGCCGGGAAACCCAAATCCCCCACCACCGCCCAAACCTTTACCAGGACCGCCGCCGGGAAACCCAAAACCACCAGGACCGCCGCCGGGAAACCCAAACCCAGCCCCCGGCGGATAACCTCCCAACGGAAACGGAAACGGAAACGGGGCTCCCAAGCCTGGGAACGGGAATGCCAACCCTGGGAATGGAAATCCCAAACCTGGGAATGGGAATGGAAACGGGAATCCTAAGCCTGGTAAGAAGTGCAGCAGAAAAAGAGCGGGTTCCTCGCCGATTACCCTCGTCCACCCATCTTTAGAACTACCCTTGTCCGGGAATCCAACTCCGGAATCAGGATAGTAAACGGAATTGAAAGGATTATTGACATATCGACCTTTGATACCCTCAGATTCCGGTTGACCCTTTTGTAAATCAAACTTCCCTAATGATGTTTTTTGACCCTCGATTAAGGCCGAGAAAGCTATGAGAAAGGTAACAAGCAAAAGCAACGATTGATGAACTCTCCCCATTACTTTGCATGGAAATTTAGGGTGTGAAGCGTTCTTGATTTATACTGCAAATTGTGAGAGTATGTGGTTGAAGTAATCTTCCAGTTTGCCAATTATAGACACTAACTAAGAAGCAAATGGATATCTGAATCAAAATTTTACTTTGATTAGAACAACTCATAAAGGATAATTAAACCAAGTCTCTACGCCATGAAAACATGCAAATTACTGGAATCCCATGCAGTGAAATGTCACCATTTTTGTATCTTGTAGATAGATGATCGCACTTGATAAAGATTGTCTAAGAGTACAATTTGTATCGTTTTAGAAGAAACAAAATTTGTGGAGAGAACTCAGAGGACACTTAATTATCAAGCTGTAATTAACTAATTATGATCCCTTTTAATGTAAATTTCTGGTAATTTAATGAATTAATAGATTAAAATAAGATGAAAATGAATAATTTTGTTATAGTTGTTTGAATTCTAAACAACTAGATAATCATACAACTTGCAGTCATAATAATCAAGTAATAATATTAATTTCCAACACGTATACGTACATCCAAATTAACAAACCTTTAATATGCGTATTTGGGGTTCTTGATATATTGATTAGGACATGCGTTTGAATTAGACATATATATAGGAAACTTTGTAAAAAAAAAAAAAATCAAATATTTAGTTTTTTATTAAAAGTTAAAAGATCTCAAAACTTGCCGAAACATACCATAGCATCGCATCTCCACTGGAAGGGTTTTGAGAGATCAATTACTTGAAATCAAACTCATAAAGTGTTTTTAATTATTAGAGAAGTGAAGTTTTATTGAGTTTTGTATTTTTTACAATTAACATCTTTTATTCATAATAATGTTTCACTTTACTCCTCTAATTATATTCGACCCTCAAAGCTTTATTATTATTATTATTTCGAATTTGTTTCATTTTAATGATTTCTTATTGTAATTTAGTGAATTGCAATATTTTAATTTTATCTAATGTTATTGCTAAATATTATTTTATTTTTTTTAATGTTACATGTGTTCAAAATAATATAACAAACTAGACGGGAGTTTTATAAAACATTTCATCAAGACGAAGGTAATTAGTAAAACTTAAAAATAACATAAAAAGCTTCTAAAAATGCTCAAGAAAAAACTTTAAGTTAATAGGTTTTTATTTAATAAAGTTCATTAAAATATGAACACCGAAAAAAAAACATGTACAAGTACCGTGAGGGAAATGTGAAAAGAACCCTATTTAGGGAGTGCAATAGAGAACCTGAGATCCGATGCGAACAATCAGTCTGACGTAGATTAGTGAGTTCGCTCTTGCCATGATTATTCTGATGGACAATATTTTTAAATTTTAATAGGTTTGTCTGTTTCGATCAAAATTTACGATTATTTTTAAATAAAGCAGCTTTATTATATTGTTAACAAATGTTCAACAATGAAAAAAACTTTTGATATCTTAAAAAAAGGTTGGAGGGAACAATGAATCGGAGATGTAAAATTAAAGAAAAAAAATTACAGTTCTTATAGTTTAAGGTAATTTGTATGTTTGGTTTCTTACTATGTTTTTTAACTCACAAAGCCATTATAGTATGTTTTTGTTGCGACTTTCGTGCTTATCAAACCTAAAAAATATTTTGCCCTTAATGATTTCTTCAAAAAAAAAGTAAACTATTTGTTATTATTTATGATTTATTAAAATTATTATAAACTCATATTATTTTTCATTTATTTTTTGGAGTTAGTAAAACAATGTATTATTTTCCTTGCCTTCCTCATGTCACTGTCATCTGCAAATATCTCTCATCACAAAAAAATAACCAACCCCACTAGGAAAAAAAAAATCCAAAGATTTCAATAATAACATTGTCAAGGGTTCAATTAACCATAGGTTGACTTGCTTCAAGTGTTGTAACAATTCTAGTTCGTCCCAAGCTACCTTCATCCGACCATACTAACAAAAATAATGTTAAGAAATCAAGAATAATGAATGGGGAATAACAAAATCAAGAAACTGATAGCAAAATAGTTTTTTTATGCTTGAAAAGGATCAAAGACACAACAAAATCATGCTATAGGGATTGTTCGAGTTAAAAATAATAATAATTAGAGACCAAACACACAAATTACCCCAAACCATAAGATCATTCATGTAATTTATTTAATTTTCAAGGCATTTAATTTGATTTGTGATAATATGTTACGGGGTAAATGCATAGATAAGAAACATAACGTTGACGTTGTTTTGTGTTAAGAAATGGCAACATACTTTATTTTTACTTTTTATTTTTTTACTTTAGAAAGTCTTACCCTTACTTAATTGTTGTAATTTAACTATATGGTTTACTAATTGGAGATATAATAGAACTTTATATGGTAAAGCATCAAAGTCATTACACAATCTAATCCTATCAAATCCTCTCTTGCGTCTACTTCATTAATACAATCAATAACAAAAGAAAAATAAAATTAACCCATGAAAAAGTTACAAATAGACTCCTTGATTTTGTTTGGATGTCACAAACATAGCTCATGCTTTAGATTCCAATGCCAAGAGGATCTTCTTTCTTGGACCCTACATAAATTCAACCATTTGTTACACAAACATTATATGACACAAGAGATTATACTGTGTTTGGCATGAACAGGACTTATGTCCATGAGACAAAATCTATAAATTTTTTACCCCACCATTAAATAGTTATTAGAATGTGAACATACCATTGGTATTCCCATAGCCTTTAGATCTTCATCAGTCATGTGTAGAAGAGCTGTCATATCAACCTGAAATACACAACATATGTCACCTCCTTACAAGTTCTAAAAAGTGAAAACCACAATATACAAGAAAAGATTATTATTTAATATAATGATTCCATACTTCCTCTGCTTGAAATGTAATAGAATACTTTTCAAGACCCAATGCCTGCAAGAAGCTATCCACTGTTTCAGTCTGCACAAGACACATAACACTAAGAAGTAAAAATCAAAAATACAAGTTAAAAACCAGCATTACTATATTAAAAACAATCAAAGAACACATAAGATTTATCAAAATAGATGATGATAGGTGAGAAACCTTTAAGAGAAGTAAAAAACTTTCTTAATACAAACATAAGAAGTTTAGTAGTCAATATATATATATATATATACCTTTTTTCTCTTAGATGCATTAGTAGAAACTTTTTTAGTCTCTGTTACATTGGCATCAGCTACAACACTTCTCCTAGCAGGTTTACTAGTGGTCTCTGGTACTGGTTTTGGCTTTGCTGCAGGCTGTGAATAACTTACACCAGATAACTTTTCACGCAGATCTCTTACACCACCTGACAAAGAACCCTTTGCACCAAGAGTTGCTCTTTGATTACTCTTTTTCTGGAGCTTCAAACGAAGGTCAAGAGCACCAACACTACGATCTATGAATGCCATAAAACATATATGAGTAAATCTGTAAAAGTTAGCATATCATTATGGAACCAAGAAAGAGCAATCAGATTCATACTTGATACTTGTGGATCAGGTTGTTCGTAAAGATCATGCTGCCATTTGTCATCATCTTGCCTCTGCCTGCAGCAAGAAAGTCACTGGTTCAGGTAAAATAAACTTTTTCCTCATAATCTCCCTATAAGATACCAAAGCTCTATACAAACAAGACAAGTGTAACATTCTTCTGCTTCTTTCAATCTATGTCCAAAATTGATACATGCCCCCAACAATTAACATTCCAACCATGACCCTAGTAAGTAGTAACACAGATTATCAGACAGGTGAATATCAAATCTTGGTCTGTTCTGGCAGCTGATAGGGGTCTTTCAGAAGTTTATTTCTCTGATACTTTACTTTGAAATCTATGTAATTTCTTTTTGATGGTATTACAGCAAATCTAGCAACTAGCCAGGTCCTTCAACTTACTACAACTAACCTATGCTCAACTATGATCTTAAACTGTAATAAAACCAAAGTATCTTCAATTAAGCAGTATCGCTCTACCAATTTTTCAAATTAACAATCAACCAAAAGAAAAAATCAAGCAAAAACACATGACCTGTAACCAGTATATCAGCAAAAACGCGTATGTGTTTACATGAGGAGCGAGAATTAGAGAGAGTGAAAAAAACGAACCTCTTGCCAGTGACTTGCCTACGGCGCCCGGGATTTTCTAGGGCTCCGCCATTAAGACGGTCTTTAATAGAACTCCTTGACGCAGTCTCTACCCGATCAGCATACATTCTCGATACAATTACACGGAATCGTATCTAGGAGAACAATTTATGATAAAACCCTAACCCTAAAGCCCCCTTGCGAATGTGTTGTTTTCAGTAGATTGGAAAGAAGCCCGAACACAGGTCGAAAATTGGGGGAAGCGAGAGGGAGAGGTGAATCGGGGAGAAAATCGAATAGAAAAGAAACCACAATCGGGTAGGCATTTATTATATTCGGACTTCGTAGCTAATCGGGTCGCCCCTTTTCTTTCTTTTTTTTCCTTTATTAGGCGGAGGGCAGCAACATAACAATTTTTGAAACCATGTAGGATTTTTTTTGAGCAACTTAGGACATCAAAAAGTAGGGAATGATAACATCCAAAAGATGTATTATTTTGAATGGGTTTTATTTTGAAAAAAAAAAAAAAAAAATCCACCGATCAAAGCCTTTGAAGACCCACCTTCTTTCTCTCTCTCTCGTTACACCCGTAACGAGCTCCTCCTAACGAGCTGTATAGCAAACATTGACGGATGGTGTAGTATTTCATAGCGAGGTTGTTGACGAGAGGGGTGGCTAGGTCATTCTTTCAAGCCTTCTGGGTTTCATAATCTAGTCGAATAATAATTCACTTTATATATTATTTGGAATCGGTTACGTTGTTTTTTAGGTAAAACCGAATAAAAAAATCAGTTCAATGGTTTGATTTTGCTTTGTATATATCAAATCTAGTGAATGTGATTTGAAACGTTTTTCAAGATATTAACTTAGATTCTTTTACATGGAGGTGACACATAAATGGACAAGT